AGCTGTTGTACTAATGCTAATGCGCTATCTGACATCAATGTAGAGGAGTTTGTTTTTTCTTCGCTCGCTGCTGCGGTTGCACCAAAAACAAACTTTGGTAACTTGCTTAATTGCTGGGAACGTTGCAAATTCCATAAATTTACACACATATGTATGTATGCAGCCGCATTTTATAGAAAAAAGAGCCAGACCCAAGAGCCGGGCCAAGAGCTCGTTAGGCACGCCATCGTCATCGTCAGCGTCATCGTCATCGCCATGGTTAAATCTGTATACGTGGGCGTTGCAGAATGTTGTCTAGGGTGCCGCTCAAAATTAAGGCAAGTGCCGCAACTCGGGCTGCTGATGACTTAATAACAGGTAATAAACAGGCAGTCCAAGTAAAAGCCTGAGTTAGCCCAACAAGCTGAATGGGAAATATCTGGCAAATGTCATGAGATACAATCGAATTGCCAATTAAATCAATTATTTTAAATGCTTGCTGTGCATCCCTGCAACTTGGCTAAATTCATTTTTATGAAGACATTTTATTGCCAACAATTTTATTGCCAACATAAATCTAGCCAACTCGGCCAATCGCAGCTCTTTTCACATACATTTATTGTATGTATTTGTATATCTATATCTATATATATTAAATGTTAACCGCACATAAATCAGTTTGCCATTTAGCCGCAAGTCGCTGCCAATATGCAATTGTCATATATTTATATACGCTTTTATTATTTATTTTTAATAGTTCTCCAGTTTAAGTAGCTTACTCTTAGCTTGACGTCGCACTTTAAACTGGGTCGTGATCGAGTGTGGAGCCAGAGCGAGACAAATGTGCAGATACTCAGACCGTTTTTGTGATACTCGTGATCAGCTCAGCGTGAACTCAACTCTATGATATTCTAAGTTATTTTTTATTCTTCAGTTTTTTTTTTCATGTTAAATGTCTGTCGATTTGATCTTAAACAACAAGCAAGCCAAACTTAGATAATGACAACAGCAAAAATGTTTTAGGATAATCATTTAAAAGGATGTTTTGACCAAATCATGATTGCTAACAAATATAAATAAGTATATTTTAAATTTAAAAAAAATGAATATCTTATTAAAACGCTTAACTAATTAATTAGCCTTCCCAAATGTACGTTTACAAACACACAAACAAACTTCTTAAAATTTCTAATGAAGATTAATTTGCTTTTCAATACCGATTAACAACTTTGGCCAAACAATCAAACGCACATTAATAACTAGCGCTTTTTTTTAAGTACTGCTTTAATTATCAATCGCTCACACTATAATTTTACAGTCCATATATTTTGGAGCGCCAGCCAGAAATTCGCCACAAGTTCAAACTCGTGTCTTTCCTTGTGTGTTAATTGACCGAAAATGGCAATAGAATCAAAACCATGAAGTGGCAGAGCCATCAAACGTGTCTCACCTACTGCCTACCTGTAATTAATCTCAACAATTTTCATTGTGTTTTCTGTGTTTTGTTTTTTGCCCGCTCGGCCTTCAACTTGACGCGCCGCTGACAAAGTGGGCGTGTGCGACATGCAACACGAGCTAGTTGCTGGAATTGAAGATAAATTCATGCTTTTTTATTTTTAATTTTTATATATTTATTTTGTTTTTACTTATGTTGAAGCGAACAATGCACAATTTGCTGACCAAGTTTACTTCCGCTGATTGGGCTGATTAATAATGAAAATGTTTAACGAAACACTTGTTGATTATACACAATAAATAATGTAAAAATCAAAAGGCTTATAAATGTAATTACCAACACAGCATGTGGCAAAAAAATAAATGGAAAACAAATTTAATAAATAATGCCAAAACATAATAACAGTAATGCACGTACAAAGCCGCACATAGCGAACAATTGCTATTTATTAGATTATGCGCGATTAATGATATTTCAATGCGAGCCGGCTCGTGCTTTATGTCTGGCAGTTACTTTAAATGATTAAAACATAAAATATTTGATGTGCATAAATATGCTAAACGTTTGATTAAAGTCATTTAAAGACACTTACAATTCGCAAGATCAATGTCCAAAGTTCTAAAAACCTTAGCGCCAAGGTGTGATATAGCCACAAACCATGGCAAACATAGACCACAAATCCAATAAGAACCTTCAACTGGGTACAATTAGAGCTGTGAACAGAATTTAGCAAAGACCAGAACCACACCACAGCTCGACGACTCATGATGCACGGTGGCATATAGCAATGTTATATGTATATATATTATTTATGTTAGGAAAATGTTTTCATACTTTTTGAAATATTCAAAAATATTACAAATGTATTCAATATAACTAAATATAGTCAGTTGAAAGTTTGTATAACCTAAAATATATAAACAATCAAATATGTTTATTATGATTTACACGAAGAGCAAAGAGATATAATTGTATCTCTTTTAGAAAAAGAGTTCTTCTATGAAATGTTCTACTCAATCAACTAATAGAACCGCACCAATATCGTATTATTAACAGATATTCACAGCAGATACGAAATAAATAAAAATAAATAATCAATGTATGCCCTCAAACATGAGCACAAAGTAAAGTTGCGCTTCAAAGCGAGGATATAAAACTTGCATAAACTGCAAACTCAACTTAGCACTTTTTGCAGGTATCTGCAACTCTTGCCCCACTGTGATTCAATTCTCCATCATCAAACTCGAAGACGTAACTTGATTTTCAACTGTTGTTGCTTTTGTTTGGTATGCAGTTAAATGCAAGGCTTTATCGATCTCAATCTTTATCTGTCTCTCTTTTTTGTACATCTTTATCGTTGATCGTTTTGTGCAGCATTCGATTTGGGCTGTCGTCGGCTGTTGCGGCAATTTGTTGTCCGCGCTTCGACTTTGCCTTTTTATTTAATTTACACGTAAATTATTTGTTTCTTTTCGTCTTATTGCAGTCAAAGGGAAGTACAGACAATGTTTTTTTTTTCTTTTTTTGGATTCGACTAACGGTAATTGCATTTGTTTAACATGCAAAAATTGCTGTTGACATGCTTATTGCCTTTAACTTGGGCTCCTCGTTGAAGGTTGGGACCACACACTGTGCTGCATGTTCAAGTAATTGGAGGAATTTAGTTGGTTTATTAAATTAAATCAAACGTTAAATTTATAAACCATTTGAGTCAATTTAAAGAACAAAGGAAAATGCAATTGGAAAAAAACTTCCCACTTGCCTAGAATTTAATTGAAAATAATAAGTGTACAACATTTATAAATCAGTTAGCTATGCACATAAATAATAAATACAAATTGTGAATACCTAATAGTTCAATTTAAGATCAGCTAAACGCAGCTGAAAACTGTTCGCACCGGTGTACGCGGCGTATGCGCAATTTATAAATGAGCGGATCATTTAAAGCAGTTTGCCGTTGACTTTGGCATTGGCCATGGCCAGAGCCCAGGCTGTGACAATGATCAATAGCTAAGCATATTTCTATTTTTGCATAGAATACCTGCAAGCATTACATAAAGGCGTTGCAGTTGCAGCCAGGCGGGGCAAAAACATTTCCGCAATCCACAATCCGCAACCAAAGTTGCAGTTAACAAATGCAAATTGAAAACAACGACGGGCAGCTAACAAGAGGCCAGCAGCTAGTTATAAGTCTGACAGCTGGCCAGCATTTGAGCTGGCCAAGTTGGCCAAGTTGATGGATGGCTGTGGCAGACCGAGTTGCATGTGTCAATTAGCCATGTTTGGACCAAAAAAATAAAAAACCAGTAGATGAAGAAGCAGCTGACGTTTTCAGTTAGCTGCAGCCATAAATTTGTGAGCCCGCCTTAATTGTCAGCTTCTAACCTCCGCCATTTGTTGCCCTTTCCAGTGGGCCGCGCATTCTAAATACGAGTCAACCGCAACCAGACAGCATTTGCTTTGGTTTTGTGCACCTGCCCCAGAGCAAGACGGCGGCTGCGACTGCGGCAGCTGAATGTCAGTTGCGATCTTATCGCGGCTTCTATTTTTGTTTACCGCTCACTTTTTTTCTAATATAACATTTTTTAGCGCTTTTATTTTAATGCTTATAAATGCCAAGTTTTTGTTTGTTTTTAATACAATTTTAAAATATTTTTGGTTTTTACCTTTTTTCGTTTTGCAGAGTTTATCACTTGCTGCCATCGCCGCCTACGCCTACGCCCAGGTAGCGCCCGGCTCGAATGCGTATTTGCCGCCCACCAAGAACGGATATGACTATCCAGAGCCCAATCAGCCATTCGTGAGTATGCTGCACAGGGCCAACAATCGACAAACAGCCGCAAAAATGCAGCCAACCAAGCCGCAAATTGAATTAAAGTCAATGGCTAATTATGGCCATAATTTTCATGAGCCCCTCACTCGACTTTTAACCTGGCCTCTGGCTGTTAAGCCGCTTTTTCCAACAGCCTGTCCGGCTGTCTGGCTGTCCAACTGTCTGTCGCCACATTCATCAGTCAGGCCGAAGACTGAATGCATTCACAGGCCGTCAACACTTTACTCCATAAATGTTCAGAGTCATGCCGCCGTCACCTTTGACTGCAACACACAGAGACAGAGACGGAGATAGACGTAGTGAAAGAGACAGCGCTCTTCAATTTGAATGTCTACTCAAATGATGTTGCATTTGTCAACTGACAGCCTTTTCCATGGGGGCGTGGGCATAACCACAGACATCAAATCACAACTTGGCCAAAGACAGGAATGACTTAACATTTTTTTTTTTCAATTTTTTTTGCTTTCATAACGAAGATGGTTTTGGCCGAGTTGCAGTTATAAGCCAAAACAATTGATTGCTGTGCATTAAATAAAATGCAGTTGCGAAAGTAAGAGAAGTCACCTTTGAGTGCTGACCGTTAAACCTTTTGCAAATAAGCGACAAGGAGTTATTAATAGGGCAAAAGGGCCTGTCAGCCAAACTAGACAGAGCTCAGTTAATATTACTACAAGTTTTATAAGAGACTATATATCTCTCTATATAGCATGCGTCCTTCTCTAAAACATAGAATCAGTTCGAAAGTTGTATTCAGAACCTAGATTGTTTCATTCAAATTATTAGCAGGAAACGTGAAGCCTAACTTTGTTTACGCTTGCAGAAACCCGGCACACCTGGCAGACCTTCGCCCGGTACCGGTCCACGTCCACCACCATCTCCCCCACGCATTCCCGGTCAACCCGCCGACGTAAGTACACCTTAAACTCAATAATATGCAACCCTCTCAACTCCCAACTCCTTTACTCCAACTGATCATCAATTATGTATGCTAATGCAGGATCATGTGCACGTGCCCGGAATGCCATTCGACTTTGAGTACGCTGTCCAGGATCCGGAGACGGCCAACGACTATGCGCACAAGGCATCCAGTGACGGCGATGTGGTGACCGGCGAGTATCGAGTCCAGTTGCCCGACGGACGCACTCAGGTGGTGCGCTACACGGCCGACTGGAAGACTGGCTACCATGCGGATGTCAGTTACGAGGGAGAGGCCCAGTTCCCGCAGGGACCAGCTGCTGGTGGACGCGGTGGTGGCGGCGGCGGTGGCGCCGGTGGCTACAAGTACTAGAGAGAGCAGAGCTCGGTCCGTATCGCGTTTTGAGTTATGTCTGTCGTCATTATCTTGTTGTGAATTCCATGAGAAATGTCTAAACTTTATGGTATACAAATAAAAACTATTGATAATTTTTTATATACATTATTATTTCAATTTAAATCTAAGGATATGAAAACATTTTAACTGAAGAAGTCAATATAAAAGTGGTGATTATGGGTTTTGTGACTCTAAAGCTCTATCCATGATATTGATTAGTGAAATTTTATTTCGGTATTGAAAGTAGTTATTAATATCTTTTTACCTATGAAAAACTTAGTGACTGTAGCTCTAAAACTGTGGGAGATATTAAGACCAAGAATGAAATTTCACAAAACCAATATATTCGTTTTTATTTAATAAGCAATGTATAAAATTTATATAAATGATAAATGAGAAAAGCTTTTTAATAATCCTTAAAATGACAATGTTTTTGGAATTGACTTTTTTAAAAACAATTTCAAAATTTGGTCATTTGTTCACAAAAGCGACGCCAAGCGACTGTTTCAAGCAACAGAGCTTCGTTTAAGCTCGGCATAGGAAAAGCACAGGCGCCTCTAGGCAAAGCACAACGAAAGCTTTTCGCAGTCCGATTTGTAGCCCTCGCATTTAGCTCAACTGTCAAACGCTGTCAGCAGAAGCAACAGCTGTGCCCGCTCGCATATCTGACAAACGTCAACACGGGCAACGCGCAGCTGCACGAGCGGGTAAACAGACACCTGTGGAGCTTTCGCGGATGTAAACAAAGCGAACGCGCAGACGCGTCATATGTCAACGCAGGCGCAGGATATGGTGTGAGCAGCGCAGCGTCTGTCAAATGCGCTGACTATACACTGGTCTCGCTCGCACGCACGTGCGCCAGATGATGAACTCATCGCTGACACAGAAACGTCAGCGAAACGGCAACCAGCTAACGGCAGTATACAGAGAAAAGTTTTTTTACAGACCTACAGAATTTTCACACGCGCAACGCTCGCAAAACACAAGCGAACAGCGTGCAAGAGTTGAGAAAAATTCAAGAAAATTGGCGAAATTATTGTAAAATGTGCAGTGCGTAAATGAAAAGTGGCAAAAAGTAGCTCCGGAAAATGTTTGTGCAGGCAGCAGGCAGGCCTAAACCAGATGAGATGTGCAAGTGTGTGATTGAGTGCAGCAAATTGGGCTACAATTAAATTAGGCTCGTTCGTATATATGTCGCGGCCCAGATCGGTGCAGCCAGTACAGCAATATGGCGAGACCATTTTGGGCCTGGCGTCGCCTCTGCCTAAGCCTTCTATTTGTGTTCATCAACTGTGGGCCTGCTGTCAATGGCGAAAAAATCAACTACAATCTGTGAGTGACCCCCTGCCCCCCCCCCCCCTACCGCTCTCACTCAGGATCTAAAGCATCATTAATTTTAATCTAACATATATATATATATATATATATATGTCTATATATATTTATATATTGTATATATTCAACAACATAGTGTGCACTCCTGGGCGGACAAGCTGGGCTTGGAGCTCTTTTCGTTGGGCGATTTTATCACCAGGCGCAAGGAGGTGCAAGAGGTGAGTCGCCCTATTGATTTTTCCCACTGTGCCCTACCATTGTTTTTTGTTGACGTTTGGCGACGGCAGCTGCGACGGCAACAGCGACTGCGACTGCAGCAGAGACGTCATATTTGGGTTAAAGGCTGCCTGAGTAGGCAATTATATATACAAAATGTTTGAAGCACGCGGCGTGGCTGACAACATCACACCACACCTCTCCCCACCTCACCCCCTGCTGGTCAACCAGTTGTTGTCTCTTTTATGAGGTCAGTAGCTGCTGCTGCTGCTGCGTAGGACAGCTGGGTAATTTATTTTTAGTCAGCGCAATTGGATTTTCTAATGAAATTGCTTTGCAGGCGCCAAGCCAAACGCGACATGTGGCATGCGGCAAGTGGCATGTGGCATGTGGCATGTGGCATGAGGCATACAGACGGAAATATATACATAAAGATACTTAAGTATTTACCCTAGTTCGCTGACCATTAGGGCCTTGGCAATGGCTTATTATAACTGTTCCACGACAGCAACAAAATGAAAAACTTTTATAGGGTTATTTACAGGGAAACGTCTTGGGTTCTATATATAAAATTATGGAACCAACAAAATCTACATGCAATAAAAATTCAATTAAGAAATCAAGAACTTAATGTTCTGGAAAAGTTTCCTAAGATTTTCAGGCGTTAAAAGTATATGTGAATGTAACAAAGTCAGGTATATATCTTTAAAAACAAATATTTATTTAACTACGTGGGGAACTACCTTCAAAAGTTTAGTATCTCTTTGTCTGCGTACGATATACAAAGGCCTATGAATATGCTGTCTTAAGCTCTATAAACCGAGGTAGATTTTAAAAGCTGAAGCTATCGAATAAATAAAAGACATGTTCTCTGTTTCATATACAAAGATCTAAATGCCAATTTGCAACCTCTATCAAATCTAACCCATATCAAATCTTAACGCATTCTTTATAGACAATTGTCCAACCAGTCAGGCATATCACAAATATACAGATCATAATAAATAAGACTATATAATATAATATAATTATTTATACATTTTAAAACTACTATACTCCTGATTCCAAGTATTTTCATTGAAAGCCATTTTCCTCAACTTCATTCTCTACGTCAATCCAAAATAATAAAAAATTACCCTCTAAAAAATTTGCAGAGCTTCAAGGAAGCCAAAGTGGTGACGCGTCAGGGTGGCATAATTGTCGAATCCATGGCGAAAGAAATCGAAATGATGATGGATCTCAAAGTCAGCGCCGTGCGTGTAAGTAATTCTCCCCAGCAATACTAAAATGGATTCTAAGAAATATATATAACATCTGCATCGATTTTAGCGCATTATGGATACTGCTGAAAACACAGCTCTGTCGCATCAAAATGATATGGCTGACAAGATGTTCTCGTACTACAATGCCAAAGAGATGGCAGAGCCGGGCGAACCGACACCACCACCTCCAACGACACCACCGGACATGGATGATCAGATCGGCGAGCCGTTGATCTATGTGCCGCCCAAGGTGTTGGTGCTGGAGCCGAGGCCGGAGTTCCAGAATACGCCGGTCAATTTCAGCGTCAGTTCCGTGCACGTGCCGGTGAATGTGTTCGATCGAGGTTTGAACTGTGCTTAAGATCATAACAACTATCGCTCTTCTCTATGCTCTCTTTCTCTTTCTCTGTTTCTTTTTCCAACTATCTGTCTCTTCATATCTATATATATATACACCTCTGTAACTGTAACTGCAACTGTTGCTCTCTTTGTTAAGCACATTGCGTGTCGTATGTCTATGTAAAAGCTTCAACACACGAGCACACACATTGCCAATACACAGCGTCTCTGTCTCTCTCTAGATGTCTAAACGTAGCTCTAAGTCTGTTTGTCTCGCTCGTATGCTGTATGCTAATTAGTTACCGTTAATAGTTAACCGTTAACCGTTAACGTTCCTCGTATGTTGCGCCTTCTTTTTCTTTTTCAATTTCCAACCGCTTACGTCAATGCGCGCCACAAAGCGCACGCGCGCCCACGCAAGCAACGCATCGCCGCATTCTGCGCACACAACTGTACCTAATGGCCGATAGTGAGAGATGAGCGCGTAAAATGAAAGTTCACATGCTCAAGGTGGCGAGATTTAAAATAGTTTGATAAAGAAAGTAAATGAAAACAAAATTGAATATCAAATAAAGAAATTCAGTCTCCGCCTTATTTAATAATATAATAGTATGATTTAGAAAATTAGGTCTTTTCCTATTATCTTATTTAACTTGTTGAAAAATTGTCTACGTGTTCATCTCTAAGAAAACCCTTGTTTTTCACCGCCCGAGACGAGAGTGTTGCGTTGCGAATTGTTGCTGGGGACGCGTGCGTGGCGCTGTGAATGCTTATTGCCGACACGCGGAATGCTTTGCCAAAAACCGTACAACACCCAACTAAGCCACTGTAACACTAACGTGCAATATGCCTACGCCCACGCCCACGCCCACGCCCAAGACTACGACCATGCCAACAAAGCACACACGCACACGCTCACATACAGAAACACGCGCACACACACCTGTGCCTGCACTGCCTTGTGCTATGTTTAAAACAAATCACAAATCCTTAAAAAAAGAAAAAAAACAGAGATATTCTTTTAGGTCTTAGTTCGAATCCCCAAAAAAAAAACTAATCAATTTCTGTATAAAAATTCTTCCCGTTTCTTTGACATCGAAAAAAAATGACAACAAAAAAAAACAAAACAACAAATCATCGGCAACACACATCGAATACCTCCACACGAACATGAATACGACTTCGAATACAAACACACAAAAAAAAAAACACACTCAGCATCGGATGTTATAAAAGCGATTCAATGGTCGGAAAATTTGGATCAGATATTTCGTGATAATTATAAAAACGATCCAAGTTTGTCGTGGCAATTTTTTGGCAGTTCGACAGGCTTTATGCGTCAATTCCCTGCATCGAAATGGAAGAAGGACGTACCGGTTGATCTATATGATTGCCGTTTACGCTCTTGGTACATGGAGGCGGCGACAAGTCCAAAGGATATTATTATCCTAATGGATGGATCGGGTTCAATGTTGGGACAGAGGCTAGATATCGCAAAGCATGTTGTCAATACAATACTCGATACATTAGGTACAAATGACTTTGTGAACATCTTCACCTTTGATAAGGAAGTGAGCCCAGTTGTCGGATGTTTCGAGGACACACTGATTCAAGTATATATATCTTTTATTTGACTATCATTTTAATTTATTAATTATCATATGATTTTTCAATTATCAATCTGATTTTTCTTTATCCCGAAAAACAAACAAAAAAAATTAAATTAAAATAAACACACTCAATCAATGCGGCTTCAAACACAACAATCCCATAAAACAAAAACAAAACCGAATTCGTTTTACAACTTCGAAATTCATCCAGGCAAATCTGGGCAACATACGTGAACTAAAAGAAGGGATTGAATCGTTTAAACCCAAATCGATTGCCAATTATACCGCTGCATTGACAAAAGCCTTCGAGATATTGGAAGAGACGAAGATTAATTCGCGCGGCGCGCAATGCAATCAGGCGATTATGATCATTGGTGATGGGGCACCCGAGAATAATCAAGAGGTCTTCCAGTTGCACAATTGGCGCGACCCGCCCTATAGGCCGGTGCGTGTTTTCACCTATCTGATTGGCAAAGAGGTGGCGAATTGGGATGATATACGGTGGATGGCATGCGAGAATCAGGGCTATTATGTGCATCTCAGCGATACAGCTGAGGTGCGCGAAATGGTATTAAACTATATACCAGTTATGGCTAGGCCTCTGGTATTGGGTAGGCATGATCATCCGGTCATATGGACGCAGGTCTATGCGGACCTCGAGGTGGGTAATAGTCTAGGACCATTTACCAACAAACATCCAAAAACCAAAAGCCTTCAATCGTTTAATGCTATCTAGGATACAAAACTCTCCGACTACCTGTGGGAGATCAAACAGTGCGAGGAGCAAAAGGCCGATGTCCTGGAATACTGGCAAGTACACGATCGCATGCTGGAGCCCAGCGAAATGCACAGACGGGAGTATCGACGCATGAAGGAGGTAAACTATATATTTATCATATTTCTATATATGTACAACTTTGATTTCTCATTCCTCCTCTAACGCAGACCTGGAACCAACCAGTAGACTCCAATGTCTATCAATTTATGACCACCGTTTCAATGCCCATATATGATCGTCGCGAAAATGCGGTAAGTCAAGCCAGTAGAAATCGTATTGCCCGAGAGCGAGCGAATTCAGAAATCAAGTATCAACAGTTAGCACTGCCCAAAATTCTTAGCCAAAATCGTATAAACGACATTTACCGACGTCGCATCGCAGACAACGGCGCGTTCATTATACTCTCTCTCTCTCTCTCTTTCGATCTATCTCTCCGTCTTACTCATCGTCGAAGCAATCGATATATATATAAAAAGAGAACCAAAAGAAACCAGTACCCAAGCCATCATCTATCTATATAAAAACTCACTATATACTACTACTATATTAATATTTTATGCGTTATATATATATAACACACAACAACTACCTACTACTACTACTACCAAAACTATACACAACTATACCACAGAATATCACCGAAGAAGTTTTAATAAATGAAGCACTCTGGGAATTGCAAACACGTGAGGTACAAACTATAATGCCAAATTCTAACAAAACTACAAAATTCCAATTCCAATTTACATTTGAGTAAATTTAATAAAATAAAAAAAGTATTTACTGCTCTTTAAGCGAAAGTTTTATATACGCCAATTAATCGCATATATCGTATTGAATTCAATATAATTATATTATTCAAGTATATATATCTCCATATATGTATATCAATATACTTATATATGACTAAAGTAAACAATTTGTTATACTTTGCGCTACATAACATGCATACCTATTCCATATTTAACCGATATACTTATATAAATAACTATACCTACTCGTATATAACTCTAGCTAACATGGTCTAGGACCATGCTGTTTTATTAGCAAACTTTTTGCCATTATAGTTGACCACGTACTCGTACTAGGTACTATCAAAATACATAAATATATATATATAAATATATATACATATATATAAAACAAAATCGAAACAAACCATGAACCGAACTCTATATATTCAAAATTGATATTCGATTGGTAAAGTATTTAACGATATGCCACTTAATTATATACCATAGCATATAAATAATTTTCTTTATATATTCGTAAACGTACCATAATTAACATATAGCTATGCCTAGTTACTTACTTAAAGTAATCGTACATTATATAGAACATTTTATCTAGCATTTTGAGTAGTACAATTTAACACTTGTTGTTTTACGTAAAATCAACAAACAACTACTTATCGGGTTGAAGCCGCGTGGCCTAGTGCCTAAATACACAGTATAAAGTACTCGTATATAGACCAATTGGTTAAATAGTCCCAATAGAAATCCCAATGTTAGCGTGCCGTATTCATTGATGTTTAGTAAGTACAATGAATTGACAACTTGAAAAACTACAAATACCTTGAAATCTTAGGCTAGTGCTGAGGCCCTATAGAGCACATGAAACAACATCAACAACAACAACAGCAACAACAGCAACAACAACAACAATAACAACAGAAACAGAAACCAGCACGGCAAACATACAAGAACAACTTACAACACTAGAAACAGTATTAAAAATTTGATTAAGTTTTTATACCCTTCATAAGAACCAGCCCAAGGGACGGCAATTGTTAGGCAGGCACCCTAGTATCCAGCTTAGTTTAATACACCCCACACCCAATATTTAACTTTCTCCCAGCTGCGCCCCCTAGGTGTGTACACCCGAAATATTTAAGTTGCTTTTGTTACTCGAGATTTATTTATTAAAAACTACCAATACAAATTCACAGCTCATTAATCTAACGACCGATATAAATCCGGCTGCGAAAATAAACCTTCAAGTTGTGAGTAAATTGTTTCTAAATTTAAGCAACAACAACTGCAACCAAATGAAAAAAAACCAACTAAATTTTAAAACTGCAAACAAATTTTTCAAATTAAATTTAACATTTATTTTGATTAACGTCTGTGCCGCATGTATTTTGTTCTTGAAGAAATGAAAACTCGTTTTGCTTTCAAATTGAGCACCACCTAAGAATTTAATTTTTACCACCACATTCCACGTCCATTTTCCATTCCCCCTTATTTATTACTTTAGCTTCACTTTCGCTTTTCTTAACTTTTCTTTTAAGCTTTCGTCCAACAAATGCCTTCGTATTAATATAAAAATAATTGCTTATATTTTTTATAATTCGTAATCCTAGGCTAAGTTCTATATGTAAAGCTTTTCCTAATTGCTATTAACGGGCACTCGATCAATTTCCTAGGCAACTGCAACTGCAAATTCTACTAACTGTCTAGTTGAACTTCAGCCTAGCTGCAACTGGTTAACACTCACTCACTCTCTCTTAACTACTCGGAATGGTTCAGTTAAACATAACTCCGTTCCACATCAAAATAAATGCCAAACTACCAAACAATTCTCAACTCATTTACACTGTGTTCCCACTGGTACGACGCGTTAGACCTGTGTTTCCGCCAGTTCAGCGCATTAACACTATGTGTCCACTGACTCGACGCATTTACACACTGTTTCCACTGTTTTAGCGAGTTTAGCGAGCATACGCGGTGTTTCCTCTGGTATGCGCTGCTCTCACGCACACAAACACACATATACAACTGTGTGAAGGGTATAAAAACTATGAAAAAAAAAAACAACACCAATTACATGAAACACACACTCAAACAAGCCAAACCCAAAACTCGTACTTTTCAAGTGCGTCGTTCACTCACGTCTTGTGCTATACTCTTCCCCGCCCCAATACACTTTGTAAACAGCTTTGTCACAATTTTTAGTTTAATTTTCAATCAAATAAATTGTAAATTACCTTATTCTTCTTCTTCTTCTTCTTCTTTTTCTACTTTGCTAAAGCGTCGAAATTAAAATTTGCTAAAAATTGTTTCATTTTGATTTGTCTTTTATTTATTTTTTGGTTTACACTGCGTTCTTTCGGTTTACACAGCCACTTTACGCTCTCATACGCTCTTAGTACTACTCTGCTATGCCATGTAATTAGCCTTACGCTGTCAAAAACTTAAATTCCAGTTTAAAATTTTCTACAATTATTTGTAATTTTGAAAATCGATCAACAAGAAGAAAGAAACTCTCCTAACTGTATTCGTAAGTTATTGCGTAGTAAAAACAAATGCTTTTCATATGTATTTGCATAAACAATTTCTAAATTTTCTTTATATTTATTTATATTATTTCATTTTTCTGAAATGCCATAAAGTGTAAGCCGAATTCAAATTTCGTTTTGTACTAGCAATGCCATTTATCAACTTCAAATTCAATTCATTTTCAGTATTTGATTAACAATGCAATCAATAAAAATTCTCTGTACTTGTACTTGTATTTGCGCTATAAAAAAAAAAACCAAAACAAAAAAAAACATTTAAAAATCCAACTTGTGTAAATGTTCTGATCCAAACACTTTAGAAAACATTTTGTTAAATTTACCTTACAATTTTTGCTCATGCACAGACAAGAATTGCAAATATATTGGGCGTGGCTGGCACAGATGTGCCTATCAATGAAATTAAAAAATTGCTATCGCCGTTTATGGTAAGTGCTAGTGCTGTAAAATAGCTGAAGAAACCGATTTTAACCAATATCTCTGCAGCTTGGCGTGAATGGTTATGCGTTTATAGTAACCAACAATGGTTATGTACTATTCCATCCAGATTTTCGTCCAATTGTAAGTACTAGACAACAAAATACCTGAAATATTTACACTTTTCAACGCTGTATGTCTACCTTTTGCTGAGCAGTTCCAAGGTTATATACTAAAGCCAGCTTACAATAGCGTTGACATGATTGAAGTCGAGCTATTGGATGACGATCGAGCCGCCAGAGACTTTAACCCAGTATTGATGACGGTAGGCATCAAAACACCCTAAATAAAAAAAATATGTTTATACTATATTTACGCTTTTCTCACTTAGATACGCGATGCTATAATCAATCAATCGACTGGCAGCAAATGGATGTTGGTTAAGAATCATTTCGATGAAATGGTAAGTCTACATGTGCATTTACATCATTTTTTTGGTTTACACCATTTCGATATGCTCCACAGAAACGTGTGGCTCGCGTCAAGCGCCAGTATTACTGGACCGCTATTAAGAACACACCATTTACGCTTGTTATTTCCTATCCTGAGCGTTATGGCGTGAGTCGCGTGGAACCACGCACCGAACAAGATATTCATCGCACCTATATAACGGGCAAAAATATACGCAGCTTCTTTGATGGCAAACGCTGGAAGATTCATCCCGATTGGTAGGTTTATTCCAAAATCCGATAATGCCGATTGGAACTGACATTCTTCCCTTTGTCTTAGGCTATTTTGCAAGCAAACCAACAAGACATTCAGAACGCCCGAAACTGAACTTTTGTACTTTGTGGACCGTATGTCTGAGCCCGGTTGGCACTGGCCATCGAGTCGAAGCGCGTTGCCCCCGGAGCATGCGGCGGCCATTTTCTGTAAGTGGACAAAATGATAAAAGCAACTTTTTTTTATTTCTTTTGGGTTTTGAAAACGCTTTGATAACAAAAATGCCGCTGTTGACGCTTTTGAACTAAGTTTTGCTTATTGTGTTTGATGTTCTGTTTACCAATTTATGCTCGAAAGAATTTATGATAACAAAAACTAAAAGAAACTTGCAAATTTCGATTACGATTTCAATAATCATGCAAATTCACAGCTAACAACTCATCAACTGGCCGCTATCCATCAATCAATGAAAAAGAAAGCTACTATTGTGAGTAACGAATACCAAAGCCAAGTCAAGTTGTAACATCCAAGACTCCTCCCCGATCACACACTCACACTCACACTCACACTCACGCACCAGTAGCACCAATATTAACTGAGCTATGCACTCTGCACTTGCACCTCCATTTCGTTGGCACCTGTTTAAGTACAATTTTGGCAAGTCTGTTGCCAGTGCACCTGAGAAGTCGGATATGCCTGATATATGTAGTCCTAACTTATGATTTCAACTTGTATTATTAGAAGCTTCTATGTTGCCACCAGTTAGCTGCGGAATTTGCACAAAGTATTACGAACAACAACAAAATGGACATGCATGAACGAAAACTTTTATTTATTTCAATGAGCATTATTTTGTATAAAGCTTGTTAATAATATTTATCATTTTAAATAATTGTATCTGAGTTTTTGGAAGCAAACCTAACGCATGTTTACACTGCGTGAGCTGCTTGACTGTTAACCAGGCCTGCAAACTCGTTTTAAGCCGAACCGATTCGATATCAAATTAAAAAAAAAAAACAACTTTCAAGAAATACCAAAAGTTTATTTTTAAATTTTTTCCAAAAAGTAAACATCTGATGGATATCCTGGTCCAATGTATACATTATATATAATTTTAGTCCCCAGCTTTCCGTTTCTCTAACTTTATTTGATAGATACCAATTCTGCATTGAGATCAAGATGATCTCCCTTCTTGAAGTAGAGAACTTTAAGTACAACGAGCGATTGTAATTGAATTGTACATTGATTCATATGACAGGCATAAAGCAAAGCCTGCCTATCCTTTTTAGAGTTTGCAGCCCTGGTGTGAGCGCTGCTTAAATGTTTACAGGCTGATGAAAGCGCTGTTTTATTTTACTAATAACCAATATATCTTATGAGACAAACTAATGCTTGACCTTTTCTTATTACAGGCGATCGCCAGCTAATGCAATCACTTGTCTTTGATGCACGTGTCACTAAATGGTTCTCCAACAATACCAGTTTCAATGCGCGCGAAAAGGATGAGAAGAGGTAAGTGGCCGGTGCGAAAGGTGCAACTGTTTGCAGTGCCAGGGCTTGACTTGTTTCACACATCAAGTACAGTCAACGCCATGCCAGGCATAATTATATAACTCAATATCCCAACCAGTGGCAGCACATATTAACCATTATTATTTGTGTGTACGCCTTTCTTTTTTCTCACTTTTATTTGCATTTTATGGGCGATCTTTTGCGTATCGTTGTTGTTGTTTGTCTATTTCATAATGAATTTTTGCACCCACAAATGAATACTGCAATCTATGAACTCTTGAACCACATAACATAATGCCTTTCATATTGTCTAAATCGAAATACAATACAAATACCCTCTCTAGCGTAAGCGCATCAAGCCCAATAGCCGTACTAATGGGTTTGCTGCCAAGGTAAACAGAAAAACTCGTCTAAACTTACTATATGATATATCATACTATAAGTTTTTTATTGTTTTGTTGTCATCGATCATCTATCGGTACATATCTAATATATCGATTTCTGTTCCAACAGACACGAATTCAAGCAGCGATTTGGCATCACCGTCGCCTTTCTGGCCACGCACAGTGGTCTAACACGCTGGCATGAGTTCCATTCGAATATGGCCGAGCAGCCGGGCGTGGGGTAAATCATAAACACGTTACAGTAGTCACTCTTGATATGCAACACTACCATTTCAGTGAGAGCTTCAGTCAGAATAATAAGCGCGCCATCGATGAGATCTGGTACAAACGGGCAGTGGATCAATATTTTGTGCAAAAGGAGAGCTTTGTCTACTCCGTGCCTTTCGATGCTGGCGGTAAGTCTGGCAGCCTTCATAATTTAAAGAATCTGTAGTTAACTAATCACTATGACACGTGCAGAGAGTGGTTCAGAAATTATTGTTACTGCCAGTAACGCCATCTTTCACAATGAGAGCTCCAAATCTGCGCCCGCTGCCGTCGTTGGATTCCAATTTCAACACTCGGCCTTTTACAAGCTCTTTCATAATATCACCGGCAACGTAAGTGCTCTTTTATCATCTTAAGATAATCATATAGATGAAACAAGCAATCCCTCATAGGCCTGTGCTGTGGATGATAAGGACTGCTATATACTGGACAACAATGGATTTGTGATCATCTCTTCACGCGTGCACGAAACTGGCAGATTTTTCGGTGAGGTCAATGGCGCCATCATGATGCGCCTGGTGGAGGAAAGAGTATACAAGCGCGTCATTGTGTATGACTATCAAGCCGTTTGTTTCGAGTCGAAAACAGAAGTTAACGCTTCCAATACGCTGCTTTCTGTAAGTAGACATACAAAGTAAAACTATTGAAAAATCTCACAGGCCTATCAAAACGTTTACGTGCCGTAAATACCTTTAAACACTTTTACCAACATTGCCAACCAGTGCCCACACATTTAAATAAGATGGCAACTCTATGTATCAAATCAGCTTCTTAATGCTTGAATTTCTGTCTGTATTTGCCTTTACTACAATCGTCCTTTATTAATAGCTTTGGCTGTTTCGATTTTTCTTCGTTGCCCGATTATAAAACTATTTGAGTTTTTTAAAGTTTTTATAAGAGTCCAGCTTACTCAACAATAAATTATACATTATTAAATTTAAAGAATTTAAAAAGATTTTCTAAAAAATGTGAAATTTAATTGGAATACAATTTTAAGATTTAGATGGAATACTCTACAGAATTTCTAACAACAATTCCGTGCATAGAAAATTTTATTTCTGGATGAAATTTCTGAATATTAACAAATTATTGCGCCTAAATAATAATATTAGGGTTGTGCAATCTAAATAGAAAGTATGATAAAATTGTTCTTTACTGAATTTAAAAATAATAAAATTAAAATTTAACACAATTTTTCTTATTCTAAGAATTTACTTTTATTTTCGCACATTTTTATAAAAATATTTTAAATTCGATTGAAAAAAATATGAATTTCTTCTTTTTCGGTGTGTAGACAATGAATTAATTATTTTTTAATAAACATCCATTAATTATAACGAATTACATGTGTTCAATTTCTCTCATTCTTGTTCTCTCTTTATAGCCGCTGTTCCATCTGCTGCGCGTGGGCAAATGGCTGCTGCATACGGCGCTGTGGTATATTGTACAACTTATGCGACTGGCGCCCGGCGTAACGGCCCATTACAATGATGTGTATATGGATGTGAATGGCACAGAACCGGAGCCGGAGCCAGATGATAACAGTCGGGCAAAGAATACAGCCTGGCTGCGCTACCTGACGCTGCATCGCACGCGGCTCAAATCGTGCGACATGCAGCGCGAGTTGTATATGCTGTACAATGAGAAGGACAACGTTGTCTACAATATGACAGCGCATGCATGCGAGCGGCCATTTGTGGTGCTGCCCATACCGAACAGTAATCTGATACTGTTGGTCATCGATCAGCTGTGTCCGCGCGATGTCGCCTACGTGCTGACCGTCAATCCCAAGCCGATACACTATCCGCTGGCGCCCAACGAGACCTTCTCCTGCTACAAGCACGCACGTGAATTCAATCGAGTGCGTCCACAGAGCTGCATCAGTCGCCATGCGAATGTAAGTCACATACAATCACTCACTCTCTCCCATTGTCGTTCTCTCTGCTAATAATTTGCTCTCTTTGGTCTAACGCAGGAGAGCGCAATCAAGTTGTGCGGCAAGGGCTGCGCCTTCTATGCGAATCTCACGCTGTTGCTGCTCAGCCACGTGCTGAGCCGCTTGCTTTAACGGCGGTCGCAATACATTTAGTCTAATCGTAGGCAATCTATGTATATTGATAATGTTTTTTGTATTATATGATAGTTAAAAAGGGATAGGGGAACTACAATTTTTTTACTATACTCTTAAACGCTTGAGCGCTGTTCATTTTTTCCACAATTTTTCAACTTAGTTTTAAGGCAAAGGTAGCTACCAAATTTGTTTTCAATGCGTGTGTTAAGTTTTATGTTAACTATGAAAATGTAACAGTGTGTGCTGCCTATGATGGACGAGTCACTGCGCTTTATTGTGGACCTTCCAATAGACAAAACCAAATATGTATATGTATTTATTATACTAATTAACTAAAAATTCCAACAACGGCCTTAAACAACTCGCAAATACAAAACAAAAAATTATTAAACAAAAATATATTAAACAAAACTAAGTAAATAACATTTTGTAAATGCCGCTCGCTGTTAAATAGGCAAGAAAAAAGCGCACACTGTTCCATATAAACTACTGCCCATGGTAAGTGTGTGAGTCTGTGCATGTTTGTGTGTGTGTGTGCGTGTGTGTGTGTGTGTGTGTGTGTGTGTGTGTGTGTGTGTGTGTGTGTGTGTGTGTGTGTGTGTGTGTGTGTGTGTGTGTGTGTGTGTGTGTGTGTGTGTGTGTGTGTGTGTGTGTGTGTGTGTGTGTGTGTGTGTGTGTGTGTGTGTGTGTGTGTGTGTGTGTGTGTGTGTGTGTGTGTGTGTGTGTGTGTGTGTGTGTGTGTGTGTGTGTGTGTGTGTGTGTGTGTGTGTGTGTGTGTGTGTGTGTGTGTGTGTGTGTGTGTGTGTGTGTGTGTGTGTGTGTGTGTGTGTGTGTGTGTGTGTGTGTGTGTGTGTGTGTGTGTGTGTGTGTGTGTGTGTGTGTGTGTGTGTGTGTGTGTGTGTGTGTGTGTGTGTGTGTGTGTGTGTGTGTGTGTGTGTGTGTGTGTGTGTGTGAGTGTGAGTGTGTAAATGCAAGTGTATGCATTTGTGTGTTTGTGTAAAAATGTGTTAAAACCTAATTTAAGATGGCCACGTTTGTAAGTAACACTTAGCTAAATATTATGTTAAAGTACGAAACAAAAATACCTATAAATAAAGCAAAAATAATGAACCATTTAAATATACATAAATACATATATGCCAGGTACATGCTATACGTTTAAGTAGCTTTTGTATATTTGCTTAGCTTAGCCCAAACAACAACTACAAAAATATAAATTAAAAGAGAAAACAATACTAAAACCAAAGGCCATTTAAGAGTTCGGCTTTACGAAGCATTAAATACTTTTATAAACATTCGTTATAGCTATAGCGTAAAAGGAAAAAACCACATAGAATATGAGTAATAAAAAAAGGAAACCTTCTTTGTTTTTATATAAAGCATATATACAAAAGTAATAATAATAGTTATGATAATACTGATTGATACCTAATATAACCCACAAGTACCTATTATAACAACTTTTTATTACATACTACTAACTACTTGATACGAGCTACGAGCCACAGAACTGAGCAGAAGCAGCAGCGTCTAGTAAATTAAGATTTAAATGAGAAAATTTAAAGACAAAAAAAAATTGAAATTCAATTTGAACTTGACTAGTTGAAATTTACAGAATAATCTGGAACAATTCATAACCAACACTTTCAACATTGAGGCAAACTCCAAATTCGAATTTTACGCTACTTAAAAATCTCACACATTCTGATACCATTTTCACACCCAAAGCTTGAGTCCCTCCCAATTTTTGTAGTACCCGTGTACCTACCCTTGTGCCATTCGATTGCCTAGAGTTTGTTATTTACTATTTAACATTTACACTTCTCTCTGTTACTTATTTAAAGCCATTCAAAACCCACTAAATACAATTGTCCCACTCCAGTAGTTAACTAAGACCTTTTTAATTCGCCCAACCTATAATAAAAGACAAAAGAGATATTATAAAATGTAGATAAGCCGCGAGGCCTCTTTTGATCAGAACATAACAAGTCGTTGCATAAAAAGAAAACAACTAAAAGAAAATAAACTAAATAAACATGACTGTTTCCACTTCCGCAGTTTTCTCTAAACGGAAACGGAACCGGAACTGGAAACATAACTGAATAAAGCAAATTTTGACCGAGACGAAAGATAAAAACTTCCTTTAAAACACTCACTAACCATTGCAGTTTGTATTAAACTTAATTTAAAAGCAACAACACTGAATACATAGAAATTTATGTATTAATTAAGCATATATTAATAATTTAATAAATGAACAAATTTGTCAAAAGTGCTAAAAACCATAAATATATGCCTTTTATTTGTCGGGCAAATAATTACTGCAGGGGCTAGGTTATGAGTTATACCCAAACCACAATGCTCAACCGCAGAGCCAGATAAGCCGGCTCAAACTAAGGACTAATATGAACTAGTTCATTTTATCAGGATCGGTGCTATATAAGAACAACAGCCGAACTTTTCTGTTGCAGTTTGTTTTGGAATCCCAACTGAGGCGCATTGTTTTAAAGATCAACTAAATAATTTATTTAAAAACAGAAAAACAATGCGATCCGCGGGTCTCTCAGCCTTTGTGGCTGTGATTCTTATGTACAGTAAGTCTTTAGTGAGCAATCGCTACGGAAAAGTTACAACAATAGTAGTTTTTATTGTTTTAAAATTGTAATAAAACTATACAAAAAGTGTATTTGATACAAGTATATTGAATTAAATTGATTTAATTAAGTGAAATTTCTACAGTCCATTAAATTATATATGTATTAGAGAGTGAAAGTTCTAAGACAAGATTGATAGATTTTTGATGATAATTTAAGCTTTCCAATAATGAAAATGAAGATTAAGAATATATAAAATATAACTGAGAACCTCCTAATTTTGTTGGAGAGTATTTTTTAAATTTGTTCATTGACTTAACTAAAGCACTTAAACAGTTTTGGCTCAAAAATTCAATATTAATTTTGTTAATTGAATTTCCTTATTAAAGTGTCATTGTATTATATTTATAATTGAAGGCGTTCTCATTTCCGCAACGATTCCTGAGGAGGTAGCAGGGATCAAATGCAAGCTGGACCCTGCAAACTTGTGCGACAATCTGAGGTAAGAACAACTTAACATTTTTAAAGGTCAGATAATTAGATATAAGTACATATATCTAGTTTCAAATTGACTTGTAAATTTCCAATTGTGTAAATTTGGACTTAACTTTTATATCCCTGTAAAGTGGTATTATAATTGCGTCAGGAAATGTGTGGAAATGTGTGCATTTTATTTTCTTTATTTTCTCGTCTTAATATAAAGCTGGTTGAAGACCTGATTTGATGGCATTCGTAATAGTGGTTAATATTAATAGAATTACTGCAGTGTTTTGCTATTGCATTCACCGCAACGTCGATTAATCGTAAGTTAATTTAAGTTATATTTATTCTGCGGCGGTTTACAGTAATTATGTGGTTGGACCCTCATTTTGTTGCATTTTATTAATAACTCGCAGCTACTCATTGAGATTAATAATAGGGCTCAGAGCACATTCAGACACACATTGATAGGCGCTAATCGAAGAAATTGCATAATCGCAATTTTTTATTATTCTATTGGAAAATTAAATGATTTCATCCTGAATTCTATATTATATTATTCTATATTATTATATTATATTAAATTATATTATCATTTTAATTTTCTTTTCTTAACATTTTCATCTACAGCAATGCCAAAGAGTGCCAAGCGACAACACACTGTACTAAAACTGTCTGGGAGAAGCGATCGGTGCCTGTGGATAAGAATGCCGTCTGTCAGATATGTAAGGACATTATCAGGCAGGCACGCAGTCAGCTACCCGGAGACAATGCCGAAGTGGAACTCAATCAGATGATTGAGGATTCTTGCCAACAGATACCCCTTATCCAAATTCAAAAGGAATGCAGCACACATATGAGGAACAGCATGCCGGAGTTGTTAGAGGTGATGTCTTCGCAAATGAGCCATGAGGTGGGTAACAAGAAAATACATGCAGAAATTTAGGTATTCATACATCTTTATATGTATATATATGTATCTAAGTGCTTGTACTGACTGACTGAACGATTGATTGGTGACCAACCAACCATGAAACTAAAATTTGTATTGAAGTTTGCTTTAGGGTGAAATGTGAACACTAGGTTTTGACCTTGGTGTTGGGATATAACGAATATTACAGCCATATAAGTGTGCTTGGTAAACGCGACTTTATAAACTTGTGTCTGAGCGTCGAACTAACAAGCGAGCGGTCGTTGATTCAAATGCATTCAAATTCATGTAAAAATGGTACCGTCAGATATCCTATAAAAGCATAGGTCAAAATTTCCCTCCCCCATAACGCGATCAAAACTCAACTGATTTTCAAAAGGTTTGGCTTGTTGTACATGGATTGGCCTCTATATCTATTTGGCATCTAAATCTGGCAATATTATTCCTGGTCAAAATTCATGTAAAAATGGTACCCTCAAATGTGTTATATATAAAATAGCCAAAATCAAGCCAACGAATCAAGAATCCGGGCGCGAATCCCAGACCAAAGACAGAGTTCCCATTTCTAATTATAAAAAAAAAATTAATGGTAATGATAATAATAAAATTAATATTAAAATTAATTTTTTTTTTTGAACAGCAAATTTGCACCGTGGTGGGTCTATGCAACAACGTCAGGATCAAGAAAATGCTGCCGCAGAGCTACGAAGCTGCCCTGGACGGCAGTCTGGAAGAGAATGATGTGGATCTGACGGTGCACGAGGCGAGCAGAGCAAATCGTAGTGTGGATCAGCCCGATCAGCAAACCTGCACCACCTGCAACCTGGTCATGCTGGCTTATAAGAAAGAGTTTGAGTCCACCACCCGGGCGGACATGATTGAAAAACTGCTGCACACCTGCTACAGCCTTAACCGCCTGTCGGACACCTGCGCCAACATTGTCTCCAACTACTTTGACGACTTCTATGAGCTGGCAAAGCAGCATCTTCAGTCGAACGACATTTGCCAAGTTGCAAGCATTTGTGCAAATGCCGAGAGTGAGCCAGAGGCGTTGGCACCTCCAGCGATCAAAAGCGATCAGTTCTACTGTGGCCAGTGCAAGCAGTTGGTGCAACATTTGCGTGAATCCCTGTTGCACAATACAACTGAGGCGCAGTTTAGGCAAAAGCTGGATGGCTACTGCAAAAAAACGCGCGGCTTCAAGAATGAGTGTCTGACGGTTGTAGATCAGTTCTATCATGTTATCTACAGTATCTTGAAAAGTCAACTAGATGCCGAGAGCGTTTGCTCGTTCATCAATGTCTGCCGCGAGCATAAGAAACTGCAGGGGGAAACAGAAAGTCTATACCTAATTGACTCCAACGACGGATTGGAATCCAGTATTAAGCTGCAACTACCCCAGTGTTTCGTATGCAAAAGTGCTTTTAGGATTGTCAAGAAACTGATTCGTTCCCACATCAGCAATGAGAAGATCAAGAACGCCATGAATCTCGCCTGCAACAAGCTAGGAAAACTGTCAAACAAATGTCACGG